ACAAAGAGACTAATACCTTAAAAAAGAATGTAGCAGAACTCATGGAACTGAAAGATTCACTTAATGAAATAAAAAACACTACCAATAGCTTAAGCAGCAGGTTACAACAAGCAGAAGAAAGAATTTCTGATTTTGAAGACAGTCTTTTTGAAATAACCCAGGTGCACAAAAAAAAAAAGGAAAAAAAGAATTTTTTAAAAAATGAAAATCTAAGAGAGTCAGCAGACAATCTTAAGCACACAAACATTGGAATCATGGGTGTTCCAGGAGGGAAGGAGAAAGGAAAGGGCATGGAAAACCTATTCAATGAAATAACAGAAAACTTCCCAGGTATAGGGAGAGACACAGACTTTCAGATCCAGGAGGCTCAAAGATCCCCAAACAGATTCAACCCAAAAAGATCCTGTCCAAGACACATTGTGATCAAAATGGCAAAGTTGAAAGACCAAGAGAGAATCTTAAAAGAAGCAAGAGAAAAAGTGTCAAGTCACCTATAAAGGAGCCCCTATCAGACTAACTGCAGACTTCTCAACAGAAATTCTACAGGCCAGAAGAAAATGGGATGATATATTCAAAACACAGAAAGAAAAAAAAAAATGCCAGCCAATGATACTATACCCAGCAAGGCTATCACTCAGATATGAGAAATATTGTATTTTCCAGACAAATAAAAACCATGGGAGCTCACCACTACACAACCAGCCCTACAAGAAATCTTCAAAGGAGCCCTGCATCTGGAATCCAAAAAATGATAATCACTACCATGAATACACAAGAAAGAACAAAACCCATGGTAGAACAAAAAATGCAAATGAGAAAGAGAAAACTAAATCTTACCTCCACTAAAAGCCATAATGACAATGAAACAAAAGCAAACAAACTCTCAGTCTCTTTGGAATGATAGGGAAACAATTCATTTTTCTAAAACTAGTAAGTAAAATGGAAGAGTTACATTTATCCTGTCTTTCCTACATGAACTGTTCCTTAGAGTAACCATAAATAGCTGAGGAGGGAACATTTCTGTCTATCGAGGTATTTTAGTTAGTAAATAAAGAGGGAATAAAATAATTAGAATATGGTATTTTGCAAACCCCTGTTGAAATAATGGATCTAGCAAATTTTCATCAATGTCTGCTAATGTTACAGAGATGATCAGACATGATAGGCCCTGATAGAGTTCAGATGTGTTGTCCCTGCCAAAACTCATGTGGAAATCTGATCCTCAATGTGGCAGTGTTAGAAGCTGTTTGAGTCATGGGGATGGATCTTTCATGAATG